AAGCCATATCTACCTGTATTATCTCAACATGTATTCATATTTGACTTACCAGTTATCAACACGTAAACAACTCAATCTCGGCATTATCCTAAACCTTTAATTACAATTTACAATTACTATAACATGCGATTTGTCCATAATTAATTGAGTGAAGTGATTGGCGTGTAACATATCTGCACAATGTTAGAATCTGAATTTATAAAATTCTCATTAATTTTTCACTTGTTCTGCTTATTTCTCTCTATTTTGTGAATAAACATGACTATATAGTCACATTTTATTGTTAGGTTATTTCTGTTATCTTTAACATATTAGGGATTTATATTGAGAGAGAAGCCAAGAGACATGCACCCTCCTTATAAAACAAAATTAATTTGAAAATTTATCACTCTAACAAGTAATATTGTTATCTTATACGACTGTAAATTAAGGTTTTTAAGTTAGGTAAAATAAAGTTATCTTAAAATAGAAATTTTAATTGATAATTTGTCTTCATCATTTTCGTTGTCTTGATGATGTTCGTTAGTCCTTAACACTAATTACCAACAGTTTGAATTTCAGGTTACATATTTTTAAGACATGACTTTTTTGGTTTTCTCAACATGGATCATGCATGGTTATACGCCAAGACCTGGCAGGCCCGTAGCCAGGATTTGCCAAGGGGGATTCAGTTTTCAAAAATATCCAGGGGGGGTTTACATTTGACAATTTTGGTCCAAATATGGCTAAAATCACTTAATTTTTGGCCAGGGGGGGGGTTCGGCCGAACTCTGCGAACCCCCCCCCTGGCTACGGGCTTGCCTTGAAATCAAATATTTACTATGCAGTGATCTCCCCAACATTAAAGCAAGTGGGTGCTGCACCCACTTGAGATTTTAAAAATAGGTTCGCACCCACCTGAGAATCAACTTGCACCTACTTGAAAATGAGAAAAATCATGAAAAATATTATTTTACAAAATCTGGTTTAAATTTTGAAAATAACAATTTTGCATTCTCGCAAAATGTTAATTTTTAAATAGGACAGTAAATCCCATAAACTGAATATCCTTTGGAAATTACAAAATAAAAATAGAGGTTGATGTCCAACACTTTATTTTGTGGATGTTGTCAATAGAATTTCTAAACATCTACTGTTTATATCTGTAAGTTGAGTCTCTCACATGTTCTCAATTATAGATCTTCAAAAACAGAAATAAATGATGCTGTCCAAATTTTGATGACTCTCGCTATAAGGATTTGTTTCTATGAGTTTTTTCTAGGAAAATTGGTTTTTTTACTCTGAGGTTGGTTCCCATGAGGTTTCTCGTGATGATCGGTTTTTCACAATGACGTTTGCCACAATGAGGTTTACCACAATGAGTTTTGTTACAATGAAGATTGTTACAATGTAGTTTGTCACAATGATTTCATTTATTTGGCATATTGGACCTTTAAGTCACTACAGCAAATGTGACTGAGACATTGCAAATGGTAATACATGTGTTATTACATTTGACTGTATTTTATAATAATATTGTGCAATGCAGTTCATCTTTGTGTACCTCACTGTAATGAATATAATTTAATAATATGGCAAATGTTGAGCAATACAATCTAAATGTTATGCAATATTCTGAAGATATTATTATGCAATGTTTTAAAATATTTTGTTGTTTAATTTGCTGAGATGTGTGGTGGTGTAAAACCAGCAGAGATACAAGTCCCATTGTTCCATAATTCACAACTAAACTCCTATCAGGCTTGTAAATCCATTGGAAAATCCTATAAGAATTAAAATGAGGTACCCTATGAAAGTTGATTGTACCTTACATGTGACTGGAGGTTAAACTGATATATCTCCTATTGTTCTCGTCAACTGCCTATATCCATATTCGGTCTTTTAATTTCGGCTCAAGCTTGCCACTAGAACTTTAAAATTTCGATCGATGTAAATTCCAAGTTAGATGCATTTCAGCTACACCTGGTTCCCATAGCAACAATGAATTTAGCCTTACTCTCCATGGTTACAGGTAACTTGTTTTGTTTTGTGCCATTCACTTCCATTCGTGTTGCTATAAATTAGAATTTGATCTTTGATGTTTGGGGGTAAAGGTGATCGAGCCAGGATGAAGTTCAATTTATAAAGGAAACAGCTTGATATTCTCTCAGTTGGTTTATCAAGCTATTTGCTATATGGACTATGGAACTAATTACTCGGTTAAAGTTCATAAAGCTCATATTTAAGGAATGAAATCAGGAAATAGAATCATTAATAAATTCGTGGTCATGTGCGGTTAATACATGATACCAATTTGTTTTGAAATGTAAAGTACAGTTGCACAGATTCTCAGATGTCTAGTTAAATTGTCCGTTCTGTTAAATAGGACCCAAAGTAGAAACTGAACAAATGAATGCAGAACTTTTTGACTTCATTTGCCCTGGCAATTTTAGAAATTATGTTTTAAAAAATCTTGCGACTGTCTGTCAAGTATTGAGTCACTCTCTAAAATTAAAATCATACAAATTTAAAAGTTTGAATCAGTGCTCATAAGAATTAGATTTTCAATTCAAAACTTGTATCTTTTCTATTAATTAATATGTTTATGTTACAACACCATATGTTACAATAAATATTTGCTTGTAGTAAAAACTGGAGACCAGCATACATAATTATTGTTCATTATTTAATCTTATAATTATGCTTATAATGTACATATTAATTGTAAAACTGAATCAATTAAATACCACTTGGAAAGATACAGTTTTTCTGTACCTCAGATGACTGATGAAAAGGTTAACTTTTGTGAGAATTTCCAGATTTTTGATGTTAGCAATCTACTGGTGGAATTGAATAATTATTGAGATTTGTAATGGGGGGGGGTAGTCAGTTTTGTTTAGTTTTTGCCTAATAGATGATGAAAATTAGAAACATCATTTTGACATGTATTTGATGTGTAAAGTCATAATAAACGCTACAAATAAAAAATTGAAAAAAATGGAAGATGTGATACATGTCTATATGAGTTTTTGTGAGAGTTTTGTTGATTTTGAAAGTAAAACAATTAAGACGGTACTTGATGTTTTTCAGAATATTTAGATTTATTTAGATTTATTTGCAGCATTTATCATTTACTATCTGACTTAATATAGAACTAGTTTGAGAATGACATATCTTTAAGATAACACGATTAGAATATACAATATGAATGCAGAACCTTAATCCGATTTGAATTAATTGTTTTAATAGAATTAACACTCAATCAATGTAATATTTTTAAATATATTTTTAATTTGATTTGAAAATGTTGAACGTTTAGCAAGTGCAAATCTAGAAATTTAACATGAGAGCCATTTTTAAAATTGCAAATACTCCTCAGAAAAGAACGGAATAGACAAAGAATAAAATAAACAGACATAAAATTAATGTTTTAAAATAGAAATAAAATGCAATAAATTATTAAAATTAAAATTTTAAAGAGAAATCCCCAAAATCCCATCTTGGTCCATCAAGGTATTTCATGACCGAGGGAATACTCTGGTTTATTAATATGCAAAATCCATGACTGGTATAAATTCCAAGCAGGGGATTTTATTGAATAAATCAAAGTAGTACATGACAACTTTCAAATGCTGAGAACATATGAGATAAAAGCTTATCTCTGACTCCATAAAGGAGATAAATGGATTGGTAAATATTCAATGATAAACTTATGAGAATGCACTGGTAAATAATCTAACCTGCTACCTAAATCACTACCAAGCTTTAGATATGACAAACTTTAAAATGCCGCATTTGTATAAACATATTTGATGATATTGGTATTTGATGATATTAGTATTTTTCCATAGTTTAGAATTTGAGATTCATACCTGGATATGTAAGCTATTGCCCCAGTCAGTTGAGCCTCATATCAATCCTGAATATGGATCCTGAAGCACTCAATGCTATAATAATACCACCAAGAAGTGGGGGCATATTAGCACCTTTTTGTGACAAGAATTTGAAATTTTGGAACTGTAACATATAGTTACACTTTCACAATTGCAAATAGGTGGTGACATTTTGTTCTGTAAAAATGCCTTGTTGTAATTATTTTAATGATTAATTTGAAATTATTTGTTGTTGAGCCTTTAAGGAGGAAATAGAGCAGTGTATGAGTCTTTAAGAAAAAGGGTGTGCTCACATATGCCCTTCACTGTGTACCATGCAAATTGATGCACAAAATCTAGATAACATGATTCATGATTCTTCTTGAGATATCAAAAATTAATTTAATAAATTTTGTTTGTGATAAGAGTGGTATCTATTAAGTAGACTGCACATGTATCTGGCAAAAGTGTTTAGATTGAAAAACGGTGAAGTAATTAACAAGAAAAATAGCAATCAGGCATGGTTTTAGCAATATAAATTATTTGAAAAAATCTAAAAATCTGAAACTCCATTCAAATTTTAAAGATAAATGTCATGAATAAACATGAGAAATCGGATATTTTAAGCCATGGTAGTCATTATTGAAAAGATAGTAATGTGACATATTTTGGTTAATAAGTTATCAGGATTGGATTTGATACAATATATTGAATGTGGCTTAGATCTCAAAATTAGGGACTGTCTCAGATCTGTTATACGATAACCTGAAATAAAGCACATTTTCGACCAGAATATTCCACCTTATTATGTATAAGAATTTAGTGTAGAACTTAAGGTGGTCACAGTTATTTTATGGTTTTCTCAAAGGGGATGGTGTCACTATTTGAAATTATTCGCTACCTCAGAACTTATGATATGGTCCCTTTTATTGATATACGTGTACATGTTGAATTTGTGGGTATGCCCTTCAGTTGGTCCTGAAGAGACACACACTCTCTGCATTCTAGCTTAGTCAACAACAGTCAACTTCAGTCAACAACATACAGCTGTATACCGGCTTTGGAACTTAACATGAAATTGATCTTAAAACATTAATTTTAGGGCTATGATTTGGAGAAAATGAAACTGTTGAAGTTTGTAAAACTGTACATGATGTAATAAGATTAAAATATGGAAGTCAGCATAGATTAAAAGAAATGTCTACATTTCTCAAATTCTGAGAAGCCAATTTGAGATAATCAAAATATTAACATTATACGAATCTAAATTTTTGAGTAAAGAAACCATAACAATATAACTAGGACTTCAATCAAAACTATACCAGAAGAGTTAACATAGGATTGCATAAATACTTCTGTAAATAGACAATTTAATTCAATGTTAGAAATGCCTGGTTTACGGATGGAATCAGGTATTGAATACACTCCTGGTATGCAGTTATCAGACTTGCAGCCATTTCTGGATATGGGGCTTGAAAGCTTAACCACAGTTTCTCCAGGTAAATTCAGGTGTTTTTGTAGAATACATGAGGAATGACAAAGCAAAAAATAGAAAAACAAAACTTCACAATTGTAGTATAAATGTAGACACTGCAAGCATGTAGTGTTGTAGAATACATGTGAGTTAAAAAGTTTAAGTTTAATTGTAACTGCAGGATTTTTTTAACATATTTGAATTCAGTATAACTTACGTAATTGTATGCTAAAAACATAATATAAATGGGTTAATGCTACGGATTGCACTGCTTAGGTTTATAGAATTATTATAATGATGCCTAAAGTTTTAATTTCAGAGTAAAAAAAGTATATCTATTATGACGAATTATGATAAATTATAGCTGGAAGCATACAAAAACATAATAGGTTATTCATTAGTGGTTATTTTGGTTATTCTTTAGTGATGTGATGATTTTGTTATATTTTAGTTATGCTATTCATGCAGTTACTTTGTATTGTTTTGTAGTTTTGGTTATTGTTTTTGTTTACTTTAGAGTGGTTATTTTGGTTTGGTATCAACAACTTTACAAATTGGCTAACATATCATATCTTTGGTTTTATATGTCTTTACACAACCTTGTACCTAAATGAACAATACAATATAAGAAGTAGTCTTATTGTAGAAATGTTTGCAAATATGAGATATGTTTGTTAATGTACTTGAATGTTGGTTTATATGTAAAATACTTGTTAACATCTGAAATATATGTTAATATTGTAGTTAATATATTAATATAGAGATGTAATTAATAAATGAGAATAAACTCAGAATATCCAGAAATATCAAATTAAATTCAAGGTCATAAGGGGATATCAGGTCATACATAAAAAATATGTGTGCTTTATCATTTAAACCTAAAGTTACTAAATATTAACCATTATTAAAGTAATTGAAATATGTTTTTCAGATGCGCCTGACATGACACTGACATCTGTTGGGCAAGGGGCGCTAGCGCAGTCAGTGACATCGCAAAACCTACTGGCTAATCAAGGAATCAGTCAGTACTGTGCCATATGCGCTGATAGAGCCACCGGGAAACATTACGGGGCAGCGAGCTGTGACGGCTGCAAGGGATTCTTCAGACGAAGTGTCCGAAAGAATCATGTGTACACGTGTAGGTTTAACAGGAACTGTGTCGTCGACAAAGACAAAAGGAATCAGTGCCGATATTGTCGACTAAAGAAATGCTTCAGGGCTGGAATGAGAAAAGAAGGTGAGTGGGGCAATAGAAAGGAACTGGGGAAAAAAATACATTAAAAATTAATTTGTTATATTTTACGTTATGATTACTGGGGGGGGGGGATATTGACTAGGATCAAACACTCAGGATCCCAAAACTTCCTTATTTAGTAATCCCAACATATATGCTTATCCCTCAGTACATCCCATATGTATTAAAGCATATTTGTTCACCAATTGCACACAAGTTATTTCAAGTGGGAGGGACAGACTTGTTTGATTGTTTGATAAAGTTATCCAACAATTTGCTGATTAATTAAGGAAATACCCCCTCATTGCAATAAATCAACAAACCATAAACAAACAAAAATAAGTAAAAATGTATTAATTCCAAAAAATGGATATTTTCTTATTAAGAAACACGTGTATTTGTTTTAACATTTTCAATTGATAATAAATTGTCAGATATTTTTTTCACAAATGTTGAATAACATTTCTTGGAGATTTTGGGGAAAATATGTTAAGGACAGTCTGTTGTAGAAGTGTGAGGAGATAGAAGAATGTGTTAATCTTTTGGGTCTATTTGCAAATATGTTACCAAATGTATTGTAAATATGAGTCACAATCAGCTGTTAAATAGCACTGCAAGATATGACATATTAAGAATATTATGAAATATCATGGAAGAGAAATAACCAGGTTTTACAATGGATGAGGTCTATAGAGTATGTGGGAGGGGCTGTAGAAGGGTGGGGGTAATGTCACATGTCATAAAAATAATTTATTGAAACATCATGCTTATAAGCTATTGGAAGGCGAAGTATGCCAGAAAAACAAAGAAAACATTTGAAGCAGAACCAGTATTGTGAATGATAGATTTTATTCATAATGCAGTGATCTCCCTAGCATTAAAGGAAGTGGATGAAGCACCCACCTGAGATTTTAAAAAACGTGAGAATTCATTTGCACCCACTTGAAAATGAGAAAAATTATGAAATATGGGCATATTTCAGTCTGAATTGTGAAAATAATAATTTTGCACCCACTTGAGAAAAAAATCCTGTATAGAGGCCTGTAAGAGAGTCCAAAAATTTGAAAAATGTAATTAAATCTCAATAAATAATAAAAACTGATGAATAAACTTACATTTCACATGTAAGAATTAAGAGATTAGTAACTGTACTAACGATAATGTGACTCTGAATCATAAGTTGTAAGCAAGCCAGGCAAAACAAGGTACAACAGGGAATCTTCATGTATCATCTCCTGCTGTAGGCTTCAAGTAAAAAATCCTTATTTAAATAAACAAACAAATGTTCGTCCCACTATGTTTCCATGGCAAACACCAAATAGTTAACTAGGGTGACAATCAAAATGAAATTGGCTATTTTTGTTAGAACATTTTTTTATATACTCAATTAAGTAATTCATAATATGGGTAGGGTTAGCAGACATGGATATGACATGTATAATATACATGCTATACCTATGATCTCATAGGAAATATAGATTGCTAAATGACATCATTAAATTAATTATTTAAAAGTACTGGGTGTAACAAAATATAGAAAATTGAACTATTGCATTAAAATTACAACCCCGTTATAAATGTCTTTAATTATGCGTTATATTCACTAATCATTCTTAGGTATCATTTTATCCAAATTTATCCTTCATGAAATTTTAATTGTATTTACAGCTGTCCAAAATGAACGAGATCGTATCAGTGTACGACGCACAAGTTATGATGAAGTTGGTCAAAATGGTGCTCTATCTGTCAGCACGTTGCTCAATGCGGAGATTCTTTCCCGACAGGTTAGTCAGGTTGGTATAGGTGGCACTAGTGAGAAGTTGGTTATGATTTACACAATCACGAAAAATGATTTATCAACAATCTACAATTTAATGTTACACCCTGTATATTCAATATACAGTTCTAAGAATACATTAAAGGGGCACCAAAGTGTAGAGAATGTGAAATGTTGGAAGCAATATGTTCAAAAATCATGCAAAAAATATCTGGTCAAATATAGAAGTTATTGAAGACACACATTTGCTGAAATTCATTAGATTTGAAGAGGGGTTGTCAACTTTTTCAAAACCATAACCAGATAATCAGAAAAATAAATCAGAGCTGGGAACATTTTAGAAAATATGTATGGATAATTTTTCAGAAAATAGCTGAACCTCTCTCTTTGTTGCCCCTTTAACTTCTCAATGGATTACCTGGTTTTCTATTGGCTTTGAATAAGACTGAATGAAAATTGATTAATTCAGTTTGTAATTCTTTGTAATTAATCAATAATATAGTAATTAATTATGATTACATTTTTTATTGATTATTTCTCTCTGTTTTACTCTTTTAATTATTTTTTATTTATTTGTTTATGCTTTCTATTATTTTTGATATTTATTGGGTATATGCATAGCCAGATTTCTTTGTTGTGCTTATTTGCTTTAATTTAATATCTGTAATGTAATATGATTTAAATCACCAAATTATTGGTGTGTACTAGATTAAAGTTAATTCAAATTTAGTTTTACAGCTTGATATAATACTTTGATATAAAGGATATGCTTAACCACAAAACATATAAAACGTGTGATTTAAAATCTTTCTGTGATTATGAATATTTCTCTGATTATAGTCAATTTGTCAGATTTAATTTAATTTATTCATTCATTATCAGATCATAAATGTTTCAAAATATGTAACATATCTAGAATTATATTTGCATGTTCCAGATCTCATCACCCATATCAAATGCAGACATTGCATTAAAAAAGATCGCCACTATAAATGACGTGTGTGACTCCATGAAACAGCAGTTGCTGATCCTTGTTGAGTGGGCCAAGTATATCCCAAGCTTCTGTGAGCTACCACTGGATGATCAGGTACTATCTTCTGTGTTTGAAAATATTTATTCAGTTTCATTATTTATTATTTATGAAAAAGATACATTATCAGGTTATATTTTTAATTGCAAAATGGATCTGAAAAGGCATTATTTCAATTACTCTAGTCCTAGAACAAGATTAAATTCTGTTTTCATATTATAATTTATATTATAATTTATATGTACAGTGTAATGTTAAAAGTGGGCCAAAGAGTTTTTATTTTGGTCTCATTTTGGCATAAATAAATAAAATATAGTGAGAAATAAAATATAATGCCCTTGTACCTGAATAACTTATGACACACTTTCTATACTGTCAATAGGTGGCACTACTGAGGGCACATGCTGGAGAGCATCTCTTGTTGGGACTTTCACGACGCTCCATGCCATTCAAGGACCTTTGTCTCCTTGGCAACGACTTCATAATCCCAAGGAACACAACTGAAATGGATCTCCATCGAGTTGTTAATCGTATCCTGGATGAGCTTGTGCGACCCCTGAGGGAGGTCCAGATTGATGATTCTGAGTTTGCCTGTCTCAAGGCAATTGTTTTCTTTGACCCTGGTGAGTTTGAATATGTGTAAAAGTAGATTAGTTTTGATATGAAAAAGATGTTTTAATAAAAATGCATATTGGCAAATTTCATGTTTCAAGTAACTTTGCTGAGCTGGAGTTAAACAGAAGCAAACTGCAGATTTTTTAGATCTTGAAAATAATCTTTGTTAAATGAACACCTTTCCTGAAAAAATACTTCATATTGGTCAAAACATTATATTATATCTGGGCATTATGTCAGCGCTATCCAAGTAGTATGTCATTTATATTTCAGCATTATTTGCTGTTTTATTTAAGTATCACATTAACTGTATCTTAGAGTCAATATGGTTGTATTTCAGCAATGTATTTTAAAATTATAGACCCTATTTCATTATTTTTTCAAATGCATCATTGATTGTACCGAGTCCACAGACATATTGCCCCTATATGCACCTGCCAATATTTCCAGAAGCCAAGGGGATAAGTGATATACAGAAGATCAAGGCAATGCGCTACCAAGTTCAGATCAACCTGGAGGACTATATTAATGACCGCCAGTATGACTCCCGCGGGAGATTCGGGGAGATCCTCCTCATGTTACCTAACCTACAGAGCATAACATGGCAGATGATTGAGCAAATACAATTTGCAAAAATATTCGGAATGGCCAAGATAGACAATCTACTGCAGGAGATGCTCCTTGGAGGTAATCATTATATTTGATTATTAATTAAGGTGACATTACAAGATAAAATTAGAGGCCAAGTCAATATATACACCCAGAATCTCGAAATTCTAAATTGAATAAAATGACATATTATAACTTTACAAAGGTTCTGGCAAGACTCTCATCTAAATCACGGCCCTATAATATAGAATTGTCAAATTTTATATAGAACAATCAACATGTAATATTAAATTCTGTTAATCATGTGTTAATCCTAAAAATAAACGTTCATGGTTCTGTTTTCTCTGTTCAGGTGCGTCCAATGATATGCCCCACCCCTCATCAGCAGCACTTCACCCCCATATGATCAATGCCGGGCAGCACGGCCTTGGGGCCAGTGAGTTGCAAAATGGGGCTCCCACCACACAGGAGGTTCTCTCTGTGGTCCAGGGGCATAACGCAGATGGCGCCACGGGTATACACTCTCAGCAGGAGAGGTTGGATAGGGTCACGGTTAATCTCACTAGTGAACCTGCCGTTATCCCTATGAATCACTCGGGGGAGCCATTAGTACATCATAACGTGGATCCATCACTACCAAGATCACACGCACCAAGCCCCATCGAAGCTCACTTGACAAATGGTCACCCGGGAACTCCGTACAGTAATGGACATCATGACCACACCCCAATACCATCTCCACCAATGACAAACATGACAGCATTCAAGCGTGAAGTCATGTGACATTTAAATGAATCAGGTGACAATCATGTGACATAAGACATGTGACAATCATGTGATGCAATTGACATCAACATTATGACATTATTTTTATGAATTAACACCTGGCTAGCTTGCCGATGTTGTGCAGTAAGAGCTAACACTAACACTGTATCCGAAAATATCTTAATATTCTTTTTTACAAATGTGCCAAATAAAATGAGAAAACGTCCTCACAGGAGAGACTTGATAGTTAAATACTGTCAGGCTCTTTTTAATGAATTTATTTTGATCAATGTATCCGTTGGTGTTCTCAAAATCTAAGAAAGCCAATAGATTCATTTGTAATCAATCCCTAGGTCTTCTTAGATGGTATTCTATTCTAGTTTCAACTGAAGTCTCAAGTTCTGAATGCCAATTCTTTAAAAGGTGCTAAACTGATAAAAACTGCCAGAAACCATATGTGTACTTGCCCCTCAAAGCATTATACACAATTAATGTTTTGATGAATGGAGATCAGTGTAGTTTTTTTGTAAGGATAAATTCATTGGTGCTTGAAATTTGAGGATGGTGCAATTCTTTCAGTAGTAATTTCATACAGAGTTGCGGGGGGCTGGTTAAAAACTTGTGAAACTTATTTAACGTAGCCACTGAAATATTGATGAAATAAGTTTCGCAAAAGTGACCCAGTGATACCCGACTCTGCCCCTTCAGGTTCCCAAAATACATAGGTGTGTATAGCTTTTTAACAAAGTATAATCAAACTAAAAACTTTACATTTTTATTACAAAACTGCATGCTTGAATGATATATAAAAATACATTTACATTCCACAATATAGCGAAAGTATTATATTTGATGTATATCTACTTAGATAGATATGGAAAAATGTTTCAAATATATTGTTGAACGTTTCAAATATATTATAGAAATTATTATCCTATTTTTGAAGTAAATTCTGTAATATTTTAATAAAAAAATCACAAGAAGCAATTAAGAAGATTGCAACTTACAGTAAACAATTATTAAGTACATATTTTTCATGAAATACTGTAGATTTCTCTTCAAATCTGTACACTCTAGAACACTTCCCTCCAAAAGGTTGGTAACCCACACACTCATATTTGACCATGAGTTAAAGCATGGCAATTCAAAAACATCATCAAATTTTTCATGGGATCTATTTTATTAATATTGAGAAGGACAGTTCAAATGAGTACAAAAACAAGCTTTAAAACGCTATGAAAGGGGATTCAGTATTGCCAAACTTTTGGAGGGGGGTGTAAGTTGGTAGCTGTATTTTCAATTTAGTGAAGGAACCAGCTGTTAATGCTTATGAATATGCAGATGTTAATGCTTATAAATACTATATCTAGTATATGCAGGTGTAAATGCTTATAAGTGTAATAGCATAAGCATTAAAATACAGTGTATTGTTTTATGATTTAGTGAAGTCATAGTTCTTAGTAAATAGTTTGATAAAATGAACATGTAAATTACAATTTAGTGGAAAATGAACTTTACAGGGAACATGAGGCAATCATTTGTATATTGAAAACTTGTATTTTATAGAAATTTTGTTTGTACATAAATGTATATTGTATGTTTTATAATGTGAATGTGTTGAATTATATGTAATGTACATACATTGAACATGTACAGTGTATATACTGTACGTGTTTATATATACAGTACATTTAAATTCATAAACTGGTAAAATGTACAGCCTATGTAATATGTACATGTTACTTTGTGTATGTTAATTATGAACTGATAATGATGTACAGTACATGTTAATAAACTGTACATGTTATTAATAGAATGTAGATGTTGATATGTACATGTTAATGTGTACATGTTAATAATATGTAACCTTTGTAAAACATTTCAGTTTACTATTTGAACATGTTTCTTTATTGTATTGTATTGTATTGTAAATATAAATAAGTGCTTTATGTAAAATTGTTTTATATACCAGTGATAAATGTGTTTTCTTGCCAACAAGTCATTCCAAGATGATCATACGGTTAGTACAGTAGTTATTAACCAAGTAGAAATAATGTAAATGTAGTACAGTAGTACAGTACATGTAGTACATAAGTACATGTACATTGATGTAGAACTACAGAAAAGATGACATGTTTACGGGAGAATCTGTACATATTATAATAAACATGTACATATAGATATGTAATTGCTTTAAATGTTATGATAAGTGACATTGATACACTGTGAGAACAAACATTTGAACATTTGTATATATTTCCTCAAGAACTATGGATTATGACGTAGTCTCAGAATAAAGATACGAAAATATGATGAGTAGAAGTTCTAGTCGAACAATTATATTAGTAATATTTGTGATGTTATGGAGGTTAAGTTAGCAATGTTTTGAAGGATGAATGCTAAACATGTAAAATGATGGCTGGAACTTTTTCCCCCTTTTGTGGCCTTTATTTTATTGAGTATGAATTAGTGAAAATAAATGCAGTAGTAATTAATCACCTGTATAAACCAATAGAGAGGGGGCATCACAATATTACATTAAACTTTCAAGGTCAATCTTTACCTCTCTAATTGTATGAGTTCTCCAATAGAGTTTTAACTGTAAACTAAAATTTAGGTACCTGCCATGTAATTGGTTAATACAATACATATCCAGGTGTGAACCAAATGGATTGCAGATTTCCATAAATGATACATTACGAGTCATAAGTTTTTAGATTTTGTTGGATAGATTCAAGGTCATTTTTTAAACCAAAGGAAGTATGTATTTTATAAATGCAAATTCTACCTTCTATAATTTGCATTATGTCCAGTATATTTTGAATGAATGTACTTCATGATCGAGAATGACTTATTTTAGTAAAGAGTTTAATGTAGCTTTTGTAAATGTACATATGGTCTCGTCATACACTGTACAGCATGGATAATGTAACATATACGCTGCAAATCAAATTTAAGCAATCAAAACCCAATGCAATAACAATTTTTCTATCCAGAAATATGTACATAAATATTTTATGCTGATTATATATGACTGATTGTGTGTCAATTGACTGATGAATATGCTGATTTTTGATTCTATTTTTACTACAATGAAATAAATTCAATAAAAAAACTTGTTTTCGTGTTCTTTTAATCATCCCTTCAAATTATCTTTACATTTATAAAAATGTTCAACTTGTTTACTGACATTATCTGCTGAATTAAAATGAGGAAAAATCAGACAACTTTTTGCTCATGTCTTGACGTAGTCAGCTTTTGCTATGGTGGGGGGGGGGTGGTAAATGCAAAACCAAGCAAGAGTCGTTTGGATTGCCTTATACATCATATTTGAAGGCAGTAATCATACCTTGAATTCTGTGAACTACAAGTACACTGTTAGTCCAACGTATGAAATAAATCTAACATAAACTAAAATTCATTATATTAAGCTTTTCATTTATTCATAGGATATATGTTTTCTTTTAAATGATATATCAAAAAACTTTTACATGATACAAACTGATTATTTCAATTCTAGGTTGTTCATTCATTGGTTTGAAAGTGTAATATTGTATCTCCAAAAGAGAAGCCCCTCACAAATTCATGATACTTCAAATACTATAACTGGAGTGACACAACCTAGTACAGTGAAACCTGTCAAGTGGAACAACTCCTCTATTAACGGAACACTTTTAACAGTCCCAAGACCAATTGACTTGATGTTAAATGAACCTCAAAAGTGGAACACCTTTTAAAGGAACCAAAGGTGTGCCACTTAGGCAGGTTTTACTGTACATGCAAATGAAGCTCAATTTTATAGAACATTTGAAAGGGTATATACTGCAAGCATGGGTAGTACCCATGTACATATTGTTTATGCATTATATAACATCCATGACAAAAGTACATAATTCTGTTTCAGACTGGCCTGTTGTTGTGTTACCCAGACACCATAATTATCAAGAATATATTACTCGTTATAAACAATATGTTTTCATATTTGATAATTGATCATTTAAGACATGTTCTCAACTTTCTAAATCGCAAGGTTACCTCAGAAAAATGTTCAGTCTTGATAATAATATGGTGGGTATATCCCTAAATACCCTTGCAGGTATATCCCCATAAGATGTCTCTAAAATCTTTACCATTGTGTATATTGTGTTCCATAATATGTTGTAACCATAGTTCAACCATAATCTAATATAATTGGTCACCCATATTTTACCCAGAAAACAATGATCCCCTATTACAAGAATCTGTAAGAACCTAATGCAAATGTGTTCTATTAAAGGGAGAATCAGATACAAGAACAAGGTAAGGTTTTCTAAAATTGTCATTTAATCTTTGGTGTTACAGTACCCCATTGCTCCAGATGGAGAAAATGGAATTAAATACATGCCATGCCCATAGCCAGCTTTTGGAAGGGGGGGGGGCATAAAAGTTTGTCCTCGAGCCCCTCTCCCCGCTGGGCCTGCATAAATAGCTCAAAAATGCATTAATTCCAATACGGTATACCAGAGCCCCTCTTACTGTCTTATCTGCCATTTGCATTCACTTTGGAAGATAAAGACGGGGGGGGGGGGGGGGGGGGGGGCGAGGTTATTGCGATGCATCAATTCCATTTGCTCAAACAGATCAAAACATTATTTACATCATATTTACATAATCACTTAATAAGTTAAATATAATACACAATTAATTTGTATTATAATTACATAGATAACCTTTGTGACTGACAATGGATAGCAGAGCTGTCTTAAATGTCTTAGATGTGTCTTGCTTCTAAAACCTCAAACAAATAAGTTACACATCATTCTGATACAAAGTGCCAACAATCCAGTATGTACGAGGGTGGTCCCAGAAGTAATGCACTATATGTTCTAACTTTATATAGTGCATTACTTCTGGGACAACCCTCGTATAACTGCTGATTGTAACTATTAAGAAAAAACAATTAATTTTGTCAGAAAAAACATCCCTACATGTACAGGATATCTTAATATACTAATTAATCATCCAATCATATGCCCACCTTTTTGAGAAACATAATATTATCAAATGTTTGTCTTATTATTCATATACGTAGTGTACATGCATATAAATCAAAATTGCATAAAACAATGGTCTCTTTAGAGAGGTAATTAATGTATTATCATAATTTATTCATCTTTCACACAACTGTCATAGTCACACTATTCCTAACAACACTGATAACTAAAACTGCAATAGTCTATTAAAGTATATCAAGAGCAATAAGCCTAAATCGATCTTCTTGTGACTTTCAATCTTCAGTAAAAGTAACTGTACTAATTTACTTGATCAGGATCTAAAGAAGAAGTCAGTTAATTATATTTTCAAAGGAAATATCCATCAAGGAATATCAATAATTCAGCAATATTAATTTAAGGTTAAACAACAAAAACATTAAACAAACTAAAAATAGACTTATTGCCATGACTAGTCACATAAATCTACCAAAGTGCAATTAGAACCTTTGTTTGTGAGTCCATTACAAAGTGACCCTCCACCTCTATTGCTTCAGTCACATTTGATCTACGGCAACCATATGGCAGCCAAAATTTGAGAGTAATGTGCAGCATAAAATACAGGGATAACAGTATGCTGTAGACTTTCTATATCAATTTTGTGAGGCTATAGACGACATACGCCCTCGTAGAGCAAATGTGACTGAGGCTTACCTTATAGTAAACAATTCTCCTAATTTTATATTCTCATTTTTACCCTCATGTAAATTTATTTTTAGGTTAAAATGGTATTACTTAATGTATGCTGTAAATGCTCTAGATTTTCACCAATACTTCAGTGCTCCTAAAGTGTCCTTGGAGATATGATTAAAACACATACATTAGAAACCCTGCGTGGAGGTGAGAAATATAATCAAGTTCAATTTAATGAACCCTGCAGATTGGTTGCATATAAGGCACGTTTCAAAGGTTCCCAAACAAGGGTGCATCATTTCAGTATAGTCTAAACAACATGACTGCAAATATGACACTAGAGAAAAGGAATGTGAAACCTGCGACGTAAACTAGATCGACGTTGATTTTCAAGCCGTTTGCTTTTTCTTCTCCGCCTTCCAATATTAAGAAAGTCATCATCACCATCGGAGTCTTCATCTGCGTCATCATCAGAGTCTAATTTTGTACGTGATGAGTGGGTCCACAATCCTACAGTACCATCCCACTAGAAACAGAAAATACATGATTATGCATATGTTTATTATATAATGTATGGTATAAATAAATTGAAAAATATGCATGCTTAAATAATATTACATAAGAACTCCCATAGCCGGTGACAGAAAAACTGATCCTATTCTGAGGGAGGTTTTTGTAAAAAAAATATTCAAATTCAACTAATTTTAGACTATGAGATATAAAGGAGCAACAAAGACAAGATGAGATGAGAATAACTGAATTGTAAAATGTAAAAATTCTACAGGATTTTTTGTTTTGATTACAAACATTCCAGGTCATGCCTTATTTTTCTGCAAGAAAAGATTCCTTACTTTCTGCATTTCCAAACCCAAATGTCGTTGTCGTTTGGAAAGAACAAGACAAAGAGACAAAGGTTATTGTGATAGATTTCTTACATTTTCATTCTCTTTTCTTAGCTGCCACTTTAAATACTTACTGAAGTGCTGACAATCTTGTGTTCATAAGGGTGCCATGAGACATCTCTGACACAATTCTGATGGCCATCTTCTAATTTGGAAACTATCTCTCCAGTCAGTATATCATAGACTGAAATATATTATAGACTGCAAAGTATCACTGATGAAAATATATGATATACTGAAATGTATCGTAGACTAAAATATATCGTAGACTGAAATGTATAATAGGGTGAAATGTATCACGTACTGAACAATAAGGCTGAATTGAGGCTTCAATATATCCTAGATGTCTTTATATTAAAGATCAAAATTTAACATAATGTTCTTCATAATTTGAAAAATTGATATTTTGACTCATAATTCTATTATTTGTCATTAAAAATTGGGGTCAACTAGATGCCAACAAACAATTTACAAGGCATTAGCATTAACATTAACCAATCGTAACAAATCACTTCCTGGTGATTTCATAACAAAACAATAACCAGTCTCAGCTAAAATCTAGATATGCCATACAGTATACAATTTTCCCAGTCCACATGAACTACATTAATGAAACAACTCATATTAAAGAACTTCAAGACTTACTGACGACAGATCCTGTAGCACAGCCAGTAAAAAGGTAGCGTTGCCCAGTTGTAAATGATGGAGAGAATCTACAGCGTACCAGAGTGTTCAGCACACAGTGCCCTCTATATGTCATTATGGAGGAATCACCAGGCAGTTTCTTACCAGTTTTGGCTTGTACTAAAACATGCATTTTTTCATGATGAGAAAATCTAAACTTATCCCACCCACCCAAAATTTTAGCTGAATTGAAGAATATTCAAAAGTAAAAAAAAATGTCAAGACTTTTTGGGCAACCCTTGGATATAATTTTATAGATATATCATTATAACAATCAATAAGGTTATCAATTAAAAACAAAAATAGGCATTTCAAACAAATTTCTTTACATATTTTCATGAACTTGTATGACCTTGGTCTAGGCTCTTTCATCTTATTTCTTTATGGAAAGCTTCCAGTTAAAAGATGAGAATAAACATGTCAATGAAACTCCTACCTTTTCTAGGTACAGCCTGCCATCTATAGTCCCAATTTTGTTTTGTAACTGCCCTTCGAGATGCCTGAAAATAATACAGATAATTTATCTAATAGATGTTAAATCCAGGCTTTATTTCATCCATTGTTGTATGGTTTTAATGCTACGACCACCATGGATGCATATGCGCAACGATTTTTAGGTTTATGAATTCAGAATTTATGATTGAAGATACCCATGTTTTCAAAATTGGGTATTCAAAGATAATGATGCTTTAGGATTGTATACCATTAATGAGTAGGATTTGAGAAAAAATACATGTACTTAATATCCCAGATGTGAGTAGAAATAATCTAAATTTATGTCATTAAAATTTAGAAATGTGGTTTTGAAAAGAGTTCATCAACTTTGAAAATTTTATTTTCTTTGAAAATGTGACTTCTAGGTTGGGGAGATTCCCCATAGAGCCCATGTTGTAAAACCACAAAATGTGAAATATCTTTTCTTGTGTTGGGCAGATAATATTTTCTTTTACTGGACATATTCTAATTTGTATAACTATCAGATACATAAAGGTAATATGAAAAGTAAACCATTAAAACTCCTGCATATTCAAGTTTAAGGGAATTTTGTAATACCATGCCATGTTAATTCCCCCGAATCAGCCACCTGGTGGCGAAACTGGTAAATACCTACTCGCATCTGAGTCATTCAACAAGATAGAAGGGCAATACAGAGATGAGAAGCAAAACAACTAAGGCCAATATACTCATACGATTAAAAATTCTTGTTGTGTATTAAAAAACATATTTGAATCAACTGAAGACATAAACATAATGCTGACTAAGGGAAAAGATAATGCCAAGAAGGAGGAAAAAGAATATCATTCTCCAGCACATGTGACTTAACATTTTATATCTTGTACTTACATCAATAGCTTCCTGAGATGAGAATTTACGGATATCCCATAGTTTAATGCTCTGGTCTTTACTGTTACTGGCCAAGTATCTTGCATCACCCTGTAATGTTATAGTAAATAGCAAATCAACATTTTTAAAGGTCTTTTTGGGCAGGGTCACTATGCAATTAAACCAGCGTGTCATTAACTTAATTTTGAGAAAACTGTTGGACACAAGTAGACACGTCACATTCCCATAGAGAAGCGAAAATATGGATTAATAGTACTGCATGAAAAGAATGAGATAAGCCATAGAAAATAGGTAAACTTGGTAATAAATAGGAAAATCCATATTTGCGCTTTAAAAAAGAGACACATTTGGACCGGGTCCCTCATGAAAACAACAAAAACAAAAGTTAATGAACTTTAGTTATTTAATATATGACCAGAGATGAATCTACACAGACACAAAAAAAAACAATGTCCTTACCTTGCTTGCAATGAAGGTAATGCCATCACTATGTCCAGCTAGGGTCCCAACAGGATTGGGTGATTCTTCATTTAGAGTGCGTCTATCCCACACCTTGACCAGCCCATCATCACCACCGCTATAGAGTATATGAGAAGAGTCGTCACCATAGGCAACAGCGTTGATATCATCCTCATGGGCATCAATCTGGATATAACAGAGTTGTAATATTCATCACACTTAAATGCTATAGAGTATGTGAGAAGAGTCGTCACCATAGGCAACAGCATTGATATCACCCTCATGGGCATCAATCTGGATATAACAGAGTTGTAATATTCATCACACTTAAATGCTATAGAGTATATGAGAAGAGTCGTCACCATAGGCAACAGCATTGATATCATCCTCATGGGCATCAATCTGGATATAACAGTGTTATAATATTTGTCACACGGAAATGCAATACTGTTTGCTACTTGGAATGCTGAGAGAAAATATATACCCACCAAACAGATGATACATTTGAAATTGTTACAGCATTGTTCAGAAAATAAATATCTTCTTTGAAATTTGTCAAATTAGAGCAGCTTAATTTTTCATATAATTTCGATACAGTACTTACTCTTAGACTCCTTTGATTGCTCTCTCTATCATATATGTATATACAACCATCATTTGCGCTGAAATTGGAAATGATAAAATATACCACAAGCAGAACAAGAACACAAATGTGTACAACATGTCCCCATCAATGGGTGATCCTATATACTGCAATTATTTTAAATGATAAAATATACCACAAGAAGAAAAACCTGTATATATGAGCAACTTCCTAATATGAACGCTTCTTAGTGTGAACACTTTTTACATTTTTAATATACCATAGACTTCCTGGTTAAAAGACCTTAAAATGTGAGCACCTGCCTATAACAAACATTTGTAGCACAAGAATCAGCCATGAATTCCTTCATTTTATGTATTTTCAAGATATTTATTCTGAATTATGCACATTTCTGCATCAAACAAATTGACTTATTTCCAATATTAATTCAGTTATTGCTATTGTGATGATGCGCATGCATTCGATATAATACTGCAAATATATTGAAAAAATCATCAAAGTTTCTTACCCGCCTAAAATTTCTGAGTTGTCCATTGAGAAACTTAGAGAGAAGATTGCAAATCTACCATAGTTTGGTGCAAGGTGCAATGCATTATGGGTAATACTTTCTCCATATATGTTGCATAAATGGACTGAAAAGCAAGGTCAAAGGTCAGTTTTACAACACTCAAGAACTGACATCTATATTGTATAGGGTACAAGCAAGTAAAAGTTGTTTACCTGACTTCATGAAACCCCCAAAATAATCAGGCTTGCTGTCAAAAATGACAATCCCATATAACCCCAGATGAAAAGATATCCCTTCATTCTTTCAATCTAAAAAGTAATCACATTTCATATCGTTTCAGTGTTGCAATAATGACCAATGACTTTGCTTCTTCCCTCATATATCTTACCCTCCCAGTAACTCGTGATTGCTGTGTGAAAATTCTAAGGAGAATATTGAAAAGTTGCGATCATAATCAGTGGGCACCATGTTGAGGGCTTCATGAACAGTATGATCCCCGTAGATGTTGCATAGATGAACTGGAAGAAACACAAGGTTAACTTAGAAGCATAGAATGATACTAAAATACACCTAGGTGTCCCCTTAAGGCACCTTGATTTACAAAGGCATATTACTCCAAGTACTCTGTGTATTTTACTACCAGTAACAAAACAATGTTTGATGTGCATGAAGTAATGAATTGGGAGAGTTTCAAATGTTGATGTCCCTGAAGCAGAAGTAATAGAGTATAAGACAACTAGACAAAAAACATAATAAAAGGTCACTTACTACACTCAGACCAGCTGGAGTATACCATGTAGTTACCATCAGGGCTAAAAAAAAATAAACAAAATAATACAGTATTCTGATATCTCTAAATAGTGTATACGTTATATCTTAGTACAGTAGAATCTGTCAGCCAGAACACCTTTGTAAATGGAAAATCTTATCTTATACAAAAAGTTGGAGATAACAATATATCAGCACTTCTGGTGGTGACACTTCTGACTGTGTTAATTGCTTGCCTCTCTGTCTTCATTTAAACTGTATGTAACACAGAGTGCATGCAAAGGTAGGATGTCCCACGGAGTAGAAAGTCACACCAGAGTAGAAAGCCCTGACATTACAGTTCATTTGTAAACTCTATTTTTCTGAGAAGATTGAAATGTTCTCACCTGAATGCTGTGTCTAGGACGCTCCAACCAACATCTCTGGCAACTATTGTCTTAAACTCATCAAATTCTCCATTTAATGTAGAATATAACCTGATATTCTGATCTGAAAATAAAGATTCATCAAGATGTCAACACAAATATTGGACAAGGCATTAACATGCAAAATGTCCTCACCTGCCATTTTTTACAGATGCCGACCAACGAACACCGTCAACAAAAAAGTTGGAGACTATAACAATATGTCACCATTTTTGGTGGTGAGATAATAAACTTAAGGCACAGGAAGTCACCACCTGTGAAGTTACTTCAAATTGTTACAAAAGTGTAACATTTTTTACACCTGTGACCTGTGACACAGAGTCTATTATGGCCTAAAAATCCTGATGCTTTTTGCTAAACCAAGGAAGTTTGGGTATATTGACTTTTATGAAAATTTGAAAAATATAACAAGTAATCCTATTTCTGCCTTAAACTGTAAAAATAACCGTAACAAACATAGTATGCTTTACTTGACTGGATTCATGCCAATGACCTTGACCTACTTACCCTGGCAAGCAGACATGAAGACATTGCCATCTTTAGAGTAAGTCCCACAAAATACTTTACTCTGAAACTTGGCCACAACCTCATGATGGTTTGGGAGAAATCTGAAACATATACAAAAGCTCTTATACTCGTATATATTAAGGATATACCAGTGTAACCCTTGCGACAATGGTGATATATTTTTAAATTACAGAAATAGAAAATTAACACCTCTATGAAAAGCTCATTTGTTAACTTCACGTTTGACAAGTGTTCTGTATTAAATATCAAGGACGCAGAATGACGATATATGACGCTTTACGACATTGTATTCCATAGCAACTAAGAGATTCTCATTTTCAATGTTGTTTGATCATGACGTCATATAACACTTTTGTTAATTGGTTCTCGGAATATGATACCATTATCTGTGACGTCAGTGACATATTGCCCCATCAACAAATAAACAAACAAATGAACTGTACGTCATCAATTCTTCCAAATAATTCAGTAATTTTTTGTATATTCTTGTTTCATTCCAGTTTCGTATCCGTTTCTTTCGTTTATCCCAGCAGTATATGTGTATGTGTCCATTTATTACAAACCCGACAAATCTAATTTGTAACTTGCTTCTGATTTTGCTACAGTCTGTATGAGTTTTCATTAAGTTATAGTCTATAGCCTATGTATTGACCAGGGGTATTTAATATCAAAAGGCAACTGTAAAATACAGTATTCTATTTTGGAATTTCTATAATTCATGTATACACTTATTACATGAATCATTTGTATGTATTTCTATTGAAATCATTACCTTGTTCCGTTTTTCCTTTCTGTCAAAACAAATACCATCAAACATGTGAAACAAGCCATTCAAAATTTTGTTCAATTTATGTTATTATTCTATTTTTTTTTTAAATTATAGTTACCAGTTAAAAATATCTTCCCAGTGAGTATTAACGACCATGATCGGACATGCCGGATACAATGCGAAAAACGTCCATAGCCGTTCACAAAAACACATTATTCGTGTACTACATTCAGTAGACGTATCTTGCTCAAATCCGACATAAGTGGGGACCTCGGGGTGAGGAATGCAAAGGGAATGTACAACCCCACCCGAAAATCATCAAAAAGCACGCATGCTATATATCATGAGCGAAATCATTCATGCCTGATCTGTGAGGTTATACTTGTGAAGGCAGTTCATAAGACAGGACATGTTGAGTTTTCACAATTGTTAACCTCAAATGTAACGTTATCCTTTCCCGAAAAATGAACAGAAATATTAGCATATTAGAATAGGAGTCAATTATGGCTATTTTTAGCCATTTTAAATCATCGTTTATTGAATGAATGTCTTACTGGGGCATCTAGCCCTCAATTTATTCATAATTTATAATATTTTGGAATGATGTTTGTCATGCTAGTTTATGTTTTTGTGAGCCGTCGATTTTGTTAATTCTTGAGAAAGGCGTCATATATTTAGTTAAATTATGACGCGAATTGACCAGTGGCTTTTGTATCATTGTTAAAGCACACCAATCTTCAACGGCATTTTCAAGCGTAAAACAGACCGTTGACCCTATGTTTTTTTAATATCAAAATAAACAAGAGAACACCTTTTTTAGAATAAGCAAATAAAAAAAATACCACAATCCATTGGAAATTTTCGTAATTTTCGATTCAAAACGTGTCAAAATGCGAAAATGAAAAAGATATGTTTTTAATGGAAAAACGTTACAAAAATTCACAAATATTGTTGGGGTAGGGGTAACACTTTAAGTGAAAAAAGTAAGAAAAAATGTCCTGAGTGTACCAATCTTCGAACCAATATAATTATGTATAAAGGAAGTTTATCTAGGCTCGAAAAATATCGTCAATACTCCCTAGATCATCATTTTATCGATGACATATAGGAAAATATGTTTTTTTTGCTTTGGAATCAATGGCGCCTCAAATGTTCAAATGTTGATAACGTCACACCTATTTTCAGAAGCTTCTCATGAAAAAACTAATCCGTTGACCTACCTTTTTTATTACATTTTTCGAATCGCTACATCTAGGTCTATAATAAAAACCTAGTTTCGTTGAGATTGAAAATGGTCGATTTTTTCGGAGGTTACACTGGTATATCCTTAAATACAACAATCATTGCTAGGATTACAACCTTGCATATCAAATGCATGATACATGAGCTACATACATACCCAGTATTTATTATAATAATTAAGAAATATAGACCGAATAGCAGGGGTAATATCGGATAGGCACAAACGTTTTCTGTAACCCGAACGAAAGAAGGGAGTGAGGGGTTCGAAAGCTTTTGTGCCTAGCCCTAAGGGGTGTATTCGTTGATATTACCCCTACTCTGAGGTCTATATTACGATTCGAACATGAAAACTCACCAAAATGTTTCGAATATTGATTATGGTCCATCATTACTACGTCCCGCCGTTATGACGTCACACATCAGTTGTGTCACCAGGGGCATTATTTGGGAATATACCCCGGGTGAAATGTTGACTTTGTTCACAGTTTATAGAAGGTGTGAAGTCATGTTCGAATACATTATACATACTACATGTAAAAAACATACATACCCAGTATTTATGATGCAACAATCTCCAGGCGAAAATCGTTGTTTCCCACGCATTCCTACTTCTCTCTAAAAACATAAATAAAATGTTGTTTAGTATACAAGCCAATATCCAAACCTCGACTTTTTCTACCAAGTGATCTCTTTTTTAGTTTATTCATTTTCTAATATTTTGGTTCTTTGCCAAAGTTTGCCAAGTTGCATGATATTTGCAACTGTATTAAGAAAATATGTAGCATATTTTCATTTTTTTACCTTTTGTAACATCTGAGGAAGTGTTGTTTTTTGGCCATAGGGAAATTTCTGTCTTCTCCCAGAGCTCATGAGCAATTCCTGCTTTAGTTCATGCATCTGAAAATATTATGTCATCCAATAATGGTCCTTTAATTTTGGGCAACATTTTAAAGCAATTTTCATTTTTGAGCAATTTTTCAATTTTTCACATCCTTTTACTGACAAAATTGCTAAATAGTCCATCTTCTTAAAATACCAGACCTGTGACCCAGCATAAGGTCCATTAAGAATTGATTCCATATATAACCTAACAGTAACTACAGTTAACTGATAAACATAAATTACAACTGCGTGTTGCATTATTCTTTTTTTAATAAGTTAGGATAATTAATAAAGCTCACATTTATCCTGGATGGGCGTTACTGCCATTTAATATGAGTACATGTACATACATGTATTATAAACAGATTATATTAAAGATGCATGCATGAAATAAGTTTTGACTTACATCTATATTGCTGGTATCAGGATTCGATTCAGCTGGAATCAGAGAGAATGCAAAGCTGTTGATATTAAAACAAGATTTATATGTGATATTTATTTGCTAATTAATTATTTGGATAATGACCTATGCATATTCAAAAATGTGAGTTTGCATATTTTCTGATCTAAAAGAAAAATTGCACCAATAAAAAACAGATACAGGGAGACACATTGAGTTTAGAAGATTATTTCAAATACAATGAGTAATTTTAAAGATCAACTGTTTTTACAAAAGTTATCTGCCCAACTATTTTTATCAATAATTTTATTTCCTAAAACTCACCTTTAGGACGCTCATGTCCAAAGTTGTCTATATCCCCCATATCATCTTCTTCATCCTCCTCATTCTCCATGTCATCCTCCCCATAGACTGATGGCATCAATCGTACCTGACCACTGAAAATAAACAGAGTTAAAAATCTAGTCCTCCAAATTCCATGATTATAGTATAACACTCTTATACACATGGGGTAACTTAGTCCTGGGGCTACTCAACCATGTGGTTATTTCCACCTTGACTTATATTTGAATTCATGCATGTTTGGTTATGAAAGCTGATCCATCATCCACTATACATTGAAAAACAAGAGAGAAGTACTAGAAACGACCCATGGTTTCACTCATCTGGGAAGCTGTAGTGTAACAAGCCTGGGATACTAGACCTGAAAGGGAGTGTGTCACATGTCATTTTCATTTCCTGTTTACATTTCTGAAAGCTACCCCAACACCTTAAATTTTGAAACTTTGATCGATTGATGAATGAAGATAAATTAGAATGATGTGAATAGTTACAGGAGCAAAATCAACCCCAATACATTGAACGAGATCTCCCATAGTTTGAGACGGCTGCCTTACGACCCGCCTTACGACAATGGAGATCTCGAAAACATGCTCTGAAAAGAAAGAAGTAGGTCTTACCTTCTGATCAAATAGCTCAGAATTGTTGCCAAATCATCAGTGCCCTCTGCTCCTTCCCCATCTGAAGTGGTTGGGGCATCTTCTGAAGTCGTCTGTGCACCCTCGTCTGACATATTCCTTGACCTCCCAGACCCTCGGCGTTGACTAATGGAAAGTCGAGAACCCATGCGATACCCTGGAACTCATTGAAATAGTGTCTAAAATGGAGAAGTTTCAATGTTTACAAAATATTTATGTAAAGTTAAAAAGTTAACAAGTTCAAGGTCATTAAAAACACGGATCTGCTATACTTAATTTTAGAAAATACACACCTACGTGATCATTAGAAATGCATAGTGATTTATCTAAAACATAAATGAATTATAAGAAAATGTATCAAATTATTTTAAAACTTGCAGTTGATTAGTTTTGATCAGCATGATGACTAAATATTGATTCTTGTCATGGATTAGGAGCAGGAAAAACTTTTGGCAGGAAAGGAAAAGGTAAATATTTCAAATATATCTTGCTTGATTATCTCATGATGTTGATGCTTTGAATACTTAAATAATGCAGAAATTAAATGTAGTTTACTAGGGTAGGTTTTGTTCAAATCTGGATGAAATTACATTTCGACTTGCATTTAGGCCTAGTATGTATCCAACAGACCGAATATAATATTCGGTCTGTTATGATTGATATATTTCCTGTGGAAATCGCGGTGATATTTTTTGCACATTAATTTCTCGTTTATTATTAGAATGTTCACCTTGAAAATTGGTGAATATGTTGAAGAGATGTTCATCTTAAACTAGAAGCAAAATTATTTGTATAAGGCGGGTACAAGTTACTCACGTCGAGAGCTACCATGTTAGATTTTGAAAGTATAGCTCTCCATCGTGAGGATCTCCCAGCTGAAGAATTGTGACATCTAAATTTGATCAGCGCCAGTCACCGGCTTGCTGTTTGTCTCAAACTGTAGCCTACATATGGGCTCATATGTGTCTACTTTCCCCGTGCATGTAGGATCGCGGATGTGCTTCTATGGCGATCAGGAGTTCTAATCGTTTTTTGTTTGATACCCATTTCCAATATGGCGGTTAAACGGAAATACTATCGACGCATGCGCAACTTGGGAAACGTCAAGCCGCCATATTGAATATACCTGGCCAAAACTTTTGACACGACCAATAAAATGAAGTCCTGATCGATACATAGGGCAGTGAGACGTTCTATAGTTGAGCTGAATGAAAGATGGCGATGTAGGAATATTTTCAGGTATATAATGTGCAACATGAGTCCGCTGAATTCCCTGAAATTTTCTTTGAAGTCAGGATTCTTAAGCTGTTGATTCTAGCGATAGAGAGCTATACTTTCAAAATCTAAGTAGCTCTCGACGGGAGTAAGGTACAAGTTGATATAAAATAATGAAATGTTCAGACTCACCGAAACTTCAGGATGTGTTCATAAGTAGATCGCGAAATCAATGTCAAGGACGTTTGAGTTCACGAGATTCAAACGAGATATGCAAATTTTGAACTTTGACAACACATGACCACTTGATTACCTCGGCCTTCTTCATGAATATTTCTGCTCTATTTACTATAAATGAAGAAAATTAATCGGGATAATGATAATAAATGACTAGATCTAATAAATTCCCGCACAAATGGAATTTAGCATACGCTTCCGTTATGTTGCTCCGTCCGCTCCACGTGTTATTTGTTTACAAATAGACTGACGTCACTGGCTAAATCTCGTTTATCGTGAGAATTGGCATTGCCAAAATGGCTTGACCTAATCAATGGCTTCGCTACAAGAAGCGTCTGTACATTTTATGAATATCTTCAGTAAGAGGACAATATACGAAAAAATAATATTGTAAGTTCTTTATAAGGTAATCATTTTATCATTAAACAAACTTATTTGTAACATTTATACAACACCACATTTTACAATAGGTGACTTACAGTCTGAATATTTATTCAGACGAAGGATACAGTCTACATTTAGGCCGGGCATTTAGAGTCCATTTCACTGCTTCATTTCGTCAGTAGAACGGCAAAAATAAGAAATTGGGAGACCATTGTGCAATAATATATGGAAAAGTATATTCATAATGTACATGAATGACATTTGTATATCTTGGATTGCTTCTAGTTTGGCTTATAAAGTGTGTGGCCTCTTATATTTGGATGTTTCTCTGCCATGTTATTTTCAATAAGATTAACATGGCTGAAATTCTTCAAATTACAAGACGGCACAGGCTTATTGCACAAAAAACTAAAAAATCTGAAATATACAAATGTCATTCATGTACATTATGAATATACTTTTCCATATATTATTGCACAATGGTCTCCCAATTTCTTATTTTTGCCGTTCTACTGACGAAATGAAGCAGTGAAATGGACTTTAGGACCTGGCTAAAAATATCTGCATCTCATCTGGTAACTTAGCCTAAGCTTACATGTTTAGGCCTACAGTGCTGACAGTAAATAATCAAGAGTGGGTTCTCAAACTAAACAGAGGTCCTACCAAAATGGATTTGCCTATATACCCCTGAGACTCTTCAGGCCCGTAGCTAGTCCAACAACATTAGACCTAGCCTGGGCCTCGTTTCTTATCTGACATGTCTTATGGCCCCGGCTAGGTCTAACCTCCATGATCATTTTGCCCTTGATGCGTTAATTTAATCGTTCCGCAGTTTTCGATAAGCGGAACTAATTAAACCCTGAAACCATGGTAATATTACACAAAGAATGTTATTCAAGCATGCATACATACCTTATGAATACATACACACCATCCCGTATCCCCCTTAGACCCTATTGATGCATAATTACGAAAATATTGGAGACAGGTTTGGAATATGACGAAAATGTCGTCAGCTTTGGTAACATCGAAATTGCAAATCGTATCAGAAATTAACCATCATCGCGGCACTGCATTTACAATTAGTAGGTTTGCAATTAATAACTATTTCGCGTGTATACACGCGCTATATAAATCAATCAAAGATACCTGTTATCCTCAAAATTTATCTTCTAATGCGAGTAATCACGATAATAATTATCAATCTATTTGACAACAATTTCGTTTCGCTAGTAGTTTAATTTTACGATCCGGGACACTCGGACGAACAGACATAATGACGGACATGCTGAAATGTTATTTTAGAGATCGGTAAGTGTAGCCTCATTTTACGAGTATAAATGAACATTTAACACAATAATATTGTGTTCAATCGCTTGATGTTATGTGTTTTTATATTATTGTTTTTATATTATTGTCAAGTATCAATTGCATGTTATCGCGGCAAAATGGTTTCGATGGATCCAGAACTTGCATCAAAGGAAAGAATAGTAAAGAGGTTAAACTCAATAACGGCCCCAAAAAATTCCTAATACAGTAAAGAACGCCGTTATTGAGTTTAACGACGTTGAACTAGCCCGTAGCCAGAATTTGTTCAGTTTTCAAAAATTTCCAGGGGGGGGTTCACATTTGACAATTTTGGCCCAAATATGGCCAAAATCACTTGAGAAGTGCTCAAAATGGTGAAAAACTGCATGATTTTGAAAGAATTTTTGGCCAGGGGGGGGTTCGCCCTAGACTGTATCCTTCGTCTGAATAAATTCAGACTGTAAGTCACCTATTGTAAAATGTGGTGTTGTATAAATGTTACAAATAAGTTTGTTTAATGATAAAATGATTACCTTATAAAGAACTTACAATATTATTTTTTCGTATATTGTCCTCTTACTGAAGATATTCATAAAATGTACAGACGCTTCTTGTAGCGAAGCCATTGATTAGGTCAAGCCATTTTGGCAATGCCAATTCTCACGATAAACGAGATTTAGCCAGTGACATCAGTCTATTTGTAAACAAATAACACGTGGAGCGGACGGAGCAACATTACGGAAGCGTATTGATAAATTCCATTTGTGCGGGAATTTATTAGATCTAGTCATTTATTATCATTATCCCGATTAATTTTCGTCATTTGTAGTAAATAGAGCGGAAATATTCATGAAGAAGGCCGAGGTAATCAAGTGGTCATGTGTTGTCAAAGTTCAAAAATTTGCATATCTCGTTTGGATCTCGTGAACTCAAACGTCCTTGACATTGATTTCGCGATCTACTTATGAACACATCCTGAAGTTTTGGTGAGTCTGAACATTTCATTATTTTATATCAACTTGTACCCGCCTTATACAAATATTTTTGCTTCTAGTTTAAGATGAACATCTCTTCAACATATTCATCAATTTTCAAGGTGAACATTCTTGTAATAAACGAGAAATTTATGTGCAAAAAATATCACCGCTATTTCCACAGGAAATATATCAATCATAACAGACCGAATATTATATTCAGTCTGTTGGATACATACTAGGGTTCGCCCGAACCCTGCGAACCCCCCTAGTATGTATCCAACAGACCGAATATAATATTCGGTCTGTTATGATTGATACCCGTGGCATGGAAATCGCGGCGATATTTTGTGCACATAAATCTCTCGTTTATTACAAAAATGTTCACCTTGAGAATTGGTGAATACGTTGAAGAGATGTTCATCTTAAACTAGAAGCACAAATTTTTGTATAAGGCGGGTACAAGTTGATATAAAATAATGAAATGTTCAGACTCACCAAAACTTCAGGATGTGTTCATAAGTAGATCGTAGATTATTTGTAACATTTATACAACCACATTTTACAATAGGTGACTTACAGTCTGAATTTATCCAGACGAAGGATACAGTCTAGAACCCCCCTGGCTACTGGCCTGCTCTTATCTGATAGATAGAATGTACAAATAAAAACAAAAGTTTTGCTATACATGTAGGTAAAAAGTGGTTTTACCTGTTAATTCTGTCATTGGTCCGCCATTTTTGCGGAAGTCACACTGAAACACCATGGAATGAAACAAAATCACTAGAAAAAAAAACATGACACACATCGTGCGCATGGGCACTTAGTTAAAACCAATCAGATTATTTGATTATTTTGCGAACATGAATTATTTGCTTCTGAGCACACCATTAAAAGCTAACCACAATAAACAAACCTAGCCGAGATTACCCTTACTTGATTTTAGTGAAATGTTTCAAACTTGTGACAAATGCATTATGCATACACTGGTATGAAGCCTTGGAGACACTCATTTTGGTATGATTTACGGTGTATTCTTTTCTGCAGTTTGGGGGAGTTTGGGACATAAAATGTTAAAATTCAAGAAAATATGCCAACTATACGACTTATCAATTATTTTGTATCAG